TTAATCCACTATAGAGTCAGTCTATTATCGTTACAAATATTAGTCAACTTATAGTGGCTTTCGTAAATTAATCCTGATCTCATTATATTGTTGTCCAGTGCCTGTAGGACAGAAGCGCTGTCAGAGAGAATACGAATGTATTTTTCTCTTACCCCGCGACAATTTATCGCTTCTGTGGCTCTAATGATGCTCACATACTCTGCTTGGAAGACCGTGTTATAGGCTGCCGTACCACAGTTGGTTTTTGATCCATCTGTGTAGATCCTCAGCTCCTTATGGAGACAAACGGCCCGGAGTATCTTCATAAAGTTATCATCTACGTACGACATGTTGTTATTTTCCTATGACCACATTAATAAGTCGCGGGCACAGCTAGTGGTAATACAAATTTATAGTTTTGAAACAAAGTTCCTTTTCAGACTGTACGTAGTTGGCGGATTGGGGCTACCCCATCCGCATGCATGTTGATAGATCTGAGTTTCCATTTTCTGCTTGTGTTGGCATGGTGCCGACAGCAAATGTTAATTTGACTTTAAATGTACTTTAGATATAAGTAAAGTGCATGTACTATTTTTTTTGGTTTTGTTTTAACGAAGTTATAATATTTTATTTTGATTAAAAAAATACATTAAAAATCAAGGAACTTCTTACATAATTGAACATCGAATCAGATTTTTTAATTTTAGCATAAAGAAAGTTAATGATGTAGCATACAATATTATTGCCATTTATTCACATAGTCTCTTGGCCTATGAAGCAGTGATTGCAATATTCCCTGCATTTGCCAACACGCCCGTTCACCCTCGCGTTGATGAGAAATATGTAGTATCGTTGCCATTTTTTTTTTCGATTGGAGTAAACAGGGTCGCGTATTTTATCTTGAACTCAATGGGAATATGAAACTCTCATTTTCCTTGTCGACATTGACTTGAAATTAAAATTGAAATCTTGATGAATTGCTGAGTTTCTTGTCGGTTCTCCTGATTACAAGGTTCTTTGCCGTAGATTTACGAACCGCTTTTCGATGTTCACGAGTGCTTGTAATAGCCTAAATTGAATGAATGAGTTGAATTTATAAATGAAGCTTTATTACTATTACTTATTATTTATGATAAAGCTTATCGCTTTATTTATATAACTTATTATTTATGATAAAGCTTATCATCTTAAACTACCATCACCTTCACTAAATGACGTTTGGTATATAATATCTTATCAAATAAACACAATTAATGCTTCCTCCGTGAATCATAGATGAAACGTAAAGGCTTATTATAAAGCCAACGTGTCACAATATCTAAACACTGACATAATATATAGTATGTTTCTTCTACTATAATTTATTATGTAGTCGCTTTTTCCCATATAGCACGTTTATTTCTCACAGGAAAACAATAATGAATTTGATGAATCCTTCTTGAATCTATCTTTAAACAACAAAATCAAATATAAAGGAAATATAACTAGAAAAAAAACCAGGTGGTCCCGTCCATGCTTAAACAAAATAAAAATTATAAAATCAAATATTTTTTATTATAATCACCTCGCGAACCACAAAGTAGTGCTCACCAAAATAATATTATTATGATTTTTGCAATATTGAGCTTGTGAAAACTCAGTTTGAAAACGTTGCTGGCCACTCAAAGGGATGTTAATATGGTCTGAGGTTTTAACACAAAGGCTGCAGTGTTTGCATTAAGGCTCCGCGTGGAATAGTAACCACGAAATGCTTTGTTAGTTTTCATAAACGCGTTAGTTATAATTAAATGTGGAAACATATTCTAGAATAATAGAGACTAACCTTAAATAAGTCAGAGAGAGATCTTAGTATTTCTCTTCAGTATTGAAATATTTTATTAACAACAATAAAAGAATACGAGTATTTTATAAAACTCAGAGACCCAGCGAACTTCGTACCGCCATAAAAATAGAGGCAGGTGGTAGAAGAGTGAAAATTTAGGGTTGTATGTATTTTTTAATACCACATAATAAAAAAATAAATATGGTCCAAAAAAAAGTTATTAGGGGTGTATAACATAGAGTTCCATCAATTTCCTGGGATAACATTCCTCCTAACCCATATGAGAACACTACGTTACAATACCCAATAGTTTGAATTTTGGCGCAAAGGCGCATTGTAGGTTTAAGAACACTACGTTACAGGTGGACAACCCTTATCACTTAAGGATATGAAAAATAGATAGTAGCCGATTCTTAGATCTATGGAATATGCATATAAAATTTCATAAAAATCGATCAAGCCGTTTCCGAAGAGTATGGTAAGTGATATTGTGACACGAGAATTTTATATATAAGACAACCGCATATACGTAGCAACTCATACAAGGGTCAGCTAATTTAAACCTGGAATCTCTTTCAGCAGACTCAATGTATGATATAGTATTAAAAATAGAACAGAATTGGAAACAAAATGTAATCAGTTTGTGTGTATATTGTTTGTTTGGTAAAGTGTTTCTCTATATTTGCTAAATAAACTGGATTATGTGTACAAAGACGGTATGAACTATCACTTGAAAGACAATTCTCAATAAATGGTACCTACATATATTTATCATTGTTATTTCTCATGTGACGGTGTGGTTTTTAATAAGAAATATATATTATTTACCCTTAAATATATACCGTGAATTTTGAGTTACCCGAGAAACTTAAGAATCGTTGAAATAAACATAGTGCGAACAGTTATAACAGCAAAAATACTTTTTACCCCCATACAAAATATTGATTTATATTGTTTACAAAATATCGTAAAACTGCACTTTGTGAATAACATACCTATTATAGAATTATTATCCGTTTAAAGTACGCGGATCCTAAATGTAAGTTCTATTTGAATCAACTTATAACAACTAAAAATTGTTAAGGTTTCATAATTGCAGAAATAATGAGTTAGCGTGGGGACATTTTTTTTTAAATCGTTTAAAATAAAAATGATGTAATGAAAATGAAAATTTGTTTATTTTTTTAAATAACATAATAGTACAATTAGTCGATGAGTCCTCCTAGTAAGTTTTAAATAAAACCTGTATCAGGAGAACCCGCTCTCTCGTCACTGCAGGTAATATAATCTAAATCGTTTTCTAAATAAGTAAAGTTTCTCAGGTAACTCAAAAATCTCGGTGTATAATATTTATAAATATCAATTACATTTTAGAATACCGCTCCATCCTTCCCTATATATTCGTAATAACTTGTGCGTGACAGCTGGGCTTCTTTCTTACTTTTTCTTTAACTCCCAGTTGTGCATTGAAACTAAAGTATATGTAGCGAAGTTAAATATCCTCCGTTTACTTAGTGTGTGAGTGAAGCCTCACCAAGTATACATGGGCGCAACTTGCTCGGTAGCGGGTGCTTCATGTCTAGATCTTGGATAGCAGTTTAAACTTCGCAAGATAGCTCGTTGAATCGCTGGTGAGATAAGACAAAATGTTTCACTTAAATATGTAGATGTTTTTATTCCTAAAAATAGCAGTGAGTAATAAAATAGCGGATCCGCGCGTGAAATGTTTATCAGAATAGCCCCTCAGGTACGTACGTAGAACTGTTTAGTTTTTTTATGTGATGATTACCTAGCACGTCGTGTAACACTGGAATCTGACACATGAATTTTTTTATGAGATAATTATCAATGAATCTAATGAACTAGGCTCAAGATTAAGTAATATTTTAAACAAACAAGAAATAAACTCACCTTTATATCTTACCAACCCTTAAACAATTGTACTTGTACATACAGCAGTTCAAGCAGTGCTTTGCTTTGCTCTAAGTCAACTCGCTCCAGGAACCTAACGGTAACACAAAGCGCAGCGTTTGCGCTTTATGAAGCTGTTTTTACCATGAAAGATAAAAATATTCGTAGAATACTGGCAATAAAACGCTTCTCCATAAAATAGACAGCGCTTAATGGTTATAACTACCCGTAGTCTGCAGATAGAGATACGTACAAACCTAGATGTCAATACCCGCCTGTAATCAGTCCTGAAAAGGCTAATAAACGTGTGCAAAGTGCCCTTGATAATGAATATGATATCAGTATCAGACAATAATCATGAGCCCCTAACATGAATTCATATTGATTAACTTTCTGGAAACAAATGTCACGAAGGAAATTCACATATTATGATCGTCACGCATTTGCACAATATTCCATGAAATTACATTATTACCTATATTTTCAGTGTCTAGACAGATCTGAGAGGCTAAAGTTATAGATTTGTGAAAGAAGTTGTAAGTTGACTATTTTGGTATAATATATTTAAAGGTCATGAAATTACTTGCCTAATAGTAGTAGTAAGTACCCTCTCAATGGAAAGCTTAAGAGTTAGAGAACTGAACTTAGATGTTAGATTTTTCACAACTTCAATGGACCGTAGACTTAGGTATAAAGTTTAAATTTCAACTCGATACCTCCAGGCGTTTCCGAGATAAAGGGGCTTTACAGACGGACTACAAAAGAAGCCTAATCATAAGGGTTCCTTTAAGGTACAGAATCCTAGAAGACTAGAAATATTTACAAGGATATGAACCTAAGGAGGCATTAAAATGCTTTCTCATTGCATGAATAAAACGACAATAAAAATTATACATAATATATTCCACAGAAATCAGACTCCACACCTATAGTAGGATACATGGTGTTTACATAAGTAATCCCGACAACGGCTCTAATGGCTGATACTGTGTTATTGTCATTCTTTATCGGTACATTGATTAGAGAATATAATGGGAGTTCGTTTAATCCACGTGAATTGTATCACAGATTGCTATTAGTGCGTAAATCTTTTCCAAACATCAGGACGAACATATTCCTAGTAGTTTTTAGTGCGTACGATACAGTGGCAGTAATTTCGCTGTTGTTATTTGTTATTTTCAAATTTATAAATCAATACCTATTTTTAAAAGTACCTAGTCTCTTAATATAAAACATTCTACTGTTTATATAAAATTGTTTAAGAAAACTGAAGAAACACATATGCCACATGAAGACCACTCGTTCGTCATTCGTCCGATCCAATTTATTTTTGAAAACCAACAAAACTATTCATTCCGTAGCAAGGTAAGAATGTATGCAAAGCAAAATGGAATGTAAGCAAAGTGTGTAATTTAATCAGAATAGCAACTGAGTTTATTATACATAAGCGCATGTAATAGTACCAGTTTACTCAGAAGTCAGTAGTGCTACAGTGTAACATCTTGTCTTTCATACATAACTAATATCCTCTGAGACGGTGTGCTAAAATGTATTGAAATAAAATTTGCATTCACTCCACGTGCGTATTTAGATTGAAAGATGTCTCCTCAAGAAGATAAGTAATAGGGATGACGGGCTATAGTTTATGAAATTCTATTAAGTCCGTTAGATAGATTTTGTTATCAATAAATAATGAGCACCTATTTTTTCTTTTGTCAATCAACCAAAAAATTACTAAGGTTAAGAAAGCGCCTCAGTCTGGGAGCTAATTACGTCACTTTTTGATAATTTACCTGATAAACGAAGAAAAAAAAGTTGGTCATCGTCCCTATTGTGATATGATTTACGAAATTATTCATCTTAACCCATTTTAATGAAGTTATTGGTAGGTAGGTTACCTTGTATAATTTTATTTAAACTAAATTCATTTTCATATATCTTATAATCATGCCATAATCGACACCATTACGCTCTATGATTTGGTGCAGAAACACATCATGCAGTCGTGGGTGGCTCCGCCTTGTTGTTCAGATGATCTTTGGCGCTATAACAGTGGCCAGTTTCATACTCATCATCATGATGACCTTCCAGCGAAACCATAACCATCGGGTACCATGCAGAACCGTGTCCTGTAGGATAACCTGTAACGCTAACTACAATGAGTACGACATAATCGACGCGATATTGGTAAAAAATAACTTATTTTTCTACTTCATTTTAAGGTTATATTACCTGAACCACAGGATTTAAACTATACGCTTTACTTTGATAAATATAAATGATGAATATTGGCGGATTGTTGGAGCGCAGAAGAAAAGCAATTTGTGTGGGACCTGGGAAAACTGATGACCCTCATTCCAGGTCGTTTCTGGCACAAAGACTGTCTATTGCCATCCAGCGTGGTAATGCTGCAAGCGTAATGGGCACCTTTGCGCCAGAAACAACACGGGGTGCTATTTGACGAGTATGGATGAATGGAATTGTATTTTATAATTAACAATAAAAAAATTAAATAATGAGTATCATATTTGTTTCTTAGGTTTCACGCACATCACTCATTAAATAAAACTAGTTTTTACGGGTTAGTGCACGAAACTTTATTTATTTATTGACGTTTCGCAGCCTTTTCAGGTCTGCATCGTCAGAATAATGATTTTTTATTTAAAATTGTCGAGCTACCTTCGAAAGACTTATATTGAGCGTTCGGTTATTTCGTTGGAAGATTTTTAAAATTTTATTGTCTATGTATGAATTTATTATTTAATTTACTTAATAAAGTATTTTATTTAAAATTCTTGTTTGTAATTTTGAGTTTATTTATTTGACCCTAACTACCGTATGCTACCACCGGTTCCAAAATTGGGAGACCTTCCTGAGAAGAACCGGCGAAACAAACTCAAGAGAGGCTTTCTATCTCCTTCTTATGTTAAATTATGCAAACAAAAAGAACTAATAGTATCCGATGGTCTTGCAGTGTGTGCTCGGGGTTGGGATTTTATCTCCTGTATAATAGGTTCCCAAGCTGGTGGTATATACCAACCATCTTCCCTATTGAAATTTGGATATTTTTTAATCTCAATAGCCTCGCGCATCATTCGAGGAACGAACCGCCGCTCAGCTGCAAGGATCTGTGGTCTATCAAATCTAATGTAGTGGTTTGGTCCCCCTAATGCATGTTGTCATGTCAATAGGGAAGATGACCACCAGCTTGGGAACCTATTATACAGGAGATAAAATCCCAACCCCGAGCACACACTGCAAGACCATCGGATACTATTAGTTCTTTTTGTTTGCATACTTTAACATAAGAAGGAGATACAAAGCCTCTCTTGAGTTTGTTTCGCCGGTTCTTCTCAGGAAGGTCTCCCAATTTTGGAACCGGTGGTAGTTTACGGTAGTTAGGGTCAAATAAATAAACTCAAAATTACAAACAAGAATTTTAAATAAAATACTTTATTAAGTAAATTAAATAATAAATTCATACTTAGACAATAAAATTTTAAAAATCTTCCAATGAAATAACCGAACGCTCAATATAAGTCTTTCGAAGGTAGCTCGACAATTTTAAATAAAAAAATATTATTCTGACGATGCAGACCTGAAAAGGCTGCGAACCGTCAATAAATAAATAAAGTTTCGTGCATTAACCCGTAAAAACTAGTTTTATTTAATGAGTATCATATTTTTATTTGAATAGAAACATGTACCTTTAACTATTGAGAATTTAATAAAGATACATCATCATTCATCGGAAACAAATTATGTAAATAGTTTATAAAATATGTAAATTGTAAAGCTTTAAAAATTAATAGAAAGATACACTGTCTCTGTCAACCCCTAATTATGTAATAATAGTAAGATTTGTAATGATTTACAAATTAATTTTATACATTTGGACGTAAAGAAATAAATAGAACGTTATTTTAACATATATTTACATTTTTTCTTTGCAGGCAGCTGAAGCAGACTGTAATCTGCAAGTGACTTTGAATAACGCTATGTTTGAAAACGGTATTCTTCCTTCAACATGGCTGCATAGGCTTCCATATTCTATTGACACACTATCAATCGTGGGAGGTAATTTGCGACAGATTTCTAATGACGCATTTTTGAGTGACTTTACAATGCATTTAAAAACTCTAATGTTCGAAAATGTAACATTAGAATCGTTGACATCTAATACGTTCATTGGATTAGTCGAATTACAATTTTTGAGAATCAGAAATTGTATTCTGAAAGGAGTGGGACCTTCCACATTAAGAGCTGTTGATAACACAATCAAAACGTTAACTATTACTGGAAGTGGCGCATGGGATCCTGAGTTATTTACAGGTACCAGATCAAATAGTTTAATTCAATTAACTGTAGTGAACTTTTCTTTCAACAGATTCGGTAGTATCCTAACAGCACATAGTTTTACAGAACTTGAATATTGTCAGGACCTTTATCTTAATTCCTGCGGTATAACTTCAATAGGTAAAGGTGCTTTTGATTCACTAAAAAATATATCCATGCTGTTTTTGAATGATAATCTCCTTATGACTTTAGAACCTGGATTATTTCATACAATTTTAAGTATCCAGACACATATACCTCCTAGGATTAATCTCCAAAACAATTTATGGCATTGTGATTGCTCTCAAAGTGAGATTATGGAATTATATTCGAAAGGCCTGCTTTTAGTTGAACCTACTTGTTATCAACCTGTGTCATTAAATGGAAAACCGATATCAAGTCTTGAACTACTCTGTAAAAATAACACTCAGCAACATAGTTCTCTGCGGTATCGTAACACTACAATAAACCTGGATTACGACACACCAAATAATTGTTATTACGGTACCAAGGTTTTATTAAATACTTCGCTTGAAATCATTTCGCCATCACCGTTTTTCACTTGTCCCAACCTAGGTATCATAAATTTTGAGAGAGATACACGAGCATCTTTAGAATTTACCAGTGCAGATATATCGAACAGTAGTTGGTTGCGTCCAGAATTTGTTTTGAGGCACAGAAACGTTTCAATGTTGCAAATTGTTACGGGATTGAATGACAGTTATGGGTTATTGTGGTATCACACAAAGTGCCCAAACGAAATTTATTGCTTCAGCGTCTTGCCTCACATTTTGAGACTGTACAATATCAATGAGTACTCCAAATATACATTTTGTCCGTTACAAATGTCTAATGTTCGAGTGCATTTAGATTATTGTGTAAATTATGCCGTGGCTACTAATGATACCAAACAACATCGTCATTATATCAGACCCTTGTTGTATGCTGCCACTGGTTTAGTTTGTTTATTTTTCGGTGCAATTCTCGTGTACAGCATCATTCGAAAGAATCCCCACTTATTGAAAGGAAGTAAAAGGCTTTTGTTTGTGAAACATAGATCTGTAGACGCGTTAGTTCTCCCTCCAAAGATACCTTTGCGCACTAATAGTGTGTCGAAGAAAATTAAGGAATCAGATTTTGACCAGAAAAATGTTTATACGATTTCTGACAATGAAAAGCTGTTACCTCCATGTGATCTGATTAGAAGCGGTTCTTGGCGCAGTGCAAAGAGCAGTTCTCCCACTTATATATCAGCCTTGCAACCTACTGAAGCACAGCTGGCCGAATGGCGCTTAAGACACCATTTTGATAAAAATGCAAACTTTAATTCAATCTCTTCCTCTGATAGCTCCATGCATACCTGGTTGTGCGATAACACTTCCACCAACAATGCAAGTTATGCTTATGTCGCTTATGAACATCTTAAATACAATAATTATGATAAATTGCACTAATTTACTGACACCAGCACACTAAGCTAAAAGATTGTAGTGTGCCAAGTACAAGATGACAAAATTCTATATTCGGTTTTGAATAATTTACAATGTAGATTGGATGACTAAGACAAATTGTTTTAATAATAATAACAGCTTCTGGGTTTTCAAGTCAACATTTTGTAAGTAATACCTAATTCATGTACTATAATATCATCCGATTCCCTCCTAGGGGAATATTATGGGTAGTCCAAAATAAATATTCATAGTTATTTTCAGAAATATTGTAATTAAATCGCAAAGCATATAAAATTAAGTAAGTCGTAAAATTTAGATTAATAAAATGCCTATATCACAAACAGATCGAAATTGATACCGCAAGTGATGTACTCGCGTGCCAAGAACACGCCAAAAGGTCGATGAAACTTCTTCTTTTTCTGCTATTTTATTTCTTTTTATTATCACTCTTATCGGACCACGTCACGGATGCCAATCGCATTTTTAGTTGTCTGATTGCTATGGCTATACTTGGCTGTGAAAACTATAGAATTGAAACTGGTTGCCGGTGCCATTATTTTCCACCACATAATTTGCCATTAAAATTTGACACGCTCGGTTTTCATCTTAGACAATAATTTATGGTTTTCATACAATTTGATGCACATGCATCGTCTACCTTAAAGTCTACCTAAGGTAGCCTTTCGTTTTTAAAGCTTTTTCTAAACCTCTGCTGTACCAGGTACCTTCCGTCCATCCATTCTCTCTATTATGGGCCGTAATAATTCTTTGTTCCCGTACCAAGTGCCAAAACTAATTTCATACGAAAAGTATACTACAATTTCTACGATGGTTTCATAAAGAAGCGACAGGTAGTGAAGTAAAAATAATATCCATTAGTCAATGGATGCAAGGTTAAATGTTTTATTCCGTCGTCTCATCAATGTCCACTTGTCCAATGCCCCTTAGTCAGAACATGTTACTTCTTAGGTGGAACACGGTGCCGAAGTTGCCGGCTTACCTCCACTATGCTATTTCTTGAATATTTTAGATACGTTAAAACGAGTTTTGAGCTTAATAATGCCGTGATTCTAGTTTTAAATGTCGTACGATGATCACTTATATAGGGTTTAACTTTGCTGTCTGTTTGTTCATTACGGGCTCCATTTCTTCAATGGCAATAGGTAAACACTTGAAACGTTCACAGAAATAGTGTAATGGCGCCTATTACAACAAATCAAATATAAAGACCAAAAAACAAAGGTCCAGAAAAACTCAACTTTTTCGACCTCTTTTGGCCGATCTAGGCTTATGGTACGGAACCGTTCTTTTTCCAGTCCTTCTCACATTTTTCCCATTTTTATCACTTTCAATTAATATGAAGTACACCTATAATAGAACGTATTATAAGATTATTATAATAATTGGCTTTATTGCAGTAGGTACACATATACTTTTGCAGCGCGATGCGACTGTTGACTGAAATGACGCGTCGCATATCATGAATCAATCTTGTGCAGTTGTTTTTCATGATACTATTGTTTTAGCCATCGGGCATCTATTTGTGTACCAGTAACATTGAGAATCGACTACAGTCGAGCACGCACAACTTTTTAATGAGCATTGTGTGACATAATAAATGGAGATTTACCTTTATTAATTACCATAATCAATGTAGATTTTATTGCTTAAGTATTATATTGTGCTATTGTACTAATTAATATGAATAAAGTTTTTACCCAATATTCTTTCATTTATTTCATTACCTTCTTCGTAAGTGTAATTTAATTGTCTTAGCGATACCCATTCTAGATATAACTGTGCTCGCTAAGTTCTGCAAAGTTAATGTTATAATCGTGTATCAATAGTGTTGCAGTAGTTTTGATTTTGACACTGTTATTGTTATTTATTTGGGAAGTTAAGCCGTTGGTCCCGGCTGCATGTGCGTTCGTTAGCACCCACAAATCCGCACTGGGCCCGCGTGGTGGGTCATGGCGCAATCCCCTATTTCATACACGGGGAAGGCCTGTGCCCTAGCAGTGGGGACATTAGTAGGCTGATGTTGATTGTAATTTATATATGAGTTTTTTTAAAGTTATAGTATCAATAACAAAATTAAGTGTATGTTATTTTAAGCAATTACCTGCTAGACGTTTAAAATGTAAAGAATATTTTACTACAAAAAATCCCCTTGGCCCAGGTTTCAGACGGGATTCGAACCCGCATCATCCGCTATCCAGACCGAAATCCGAAGTGAGTATATTTTTTTCTAATACTTTTTTTTTAGATTTAACCAATAACTGCGTCTAAAGGCAATACTACTGAGATACATTGTTAGCTTAGCAGAATTTTCATGTTAGCTTAGCAGAACCGATAGAACAGAAGCCAGCTTAGTTGAGTTGGTGTTTATTTTGTTTTGTTTATAATTTTTATTTTTTTAAGCATGTAACTGCTTGATGTTGTTTTGTTTATTTAAATTTGTAGAATGGTTTGGAATAGTATAAATTACATAATACCAAGACAGATGTACCAAGATACCATGTTAACAAGCGGAAACCTATTAAATAATATGCCTTCGCTCCGCTGTCTGTCAGCCTGCCTCTCACAAGATTCTATCTCTTGAACGGGAACAGGAAGGCGCCTAAAATTTCACCCGACCCACATCACGACAAATCTATACTAATATAATAATGCTGAAGAGTATGTTTGTGTGTTTGGTTGAATGCGCTAACCTCAGGAACTACTGGGCCGATTTGTTTTTTTTTTGTATTGGATGGTGCATTTATTGAGGTAGGTTATATGATATTTAGTTACGATCAGTAGGAACGGAGCATCGAAGAGAAAAGTTGCAAAATCAGGAAAAAGATAGTAAAATTGAGAGCTTCTATTGCGTGTGCTAATAAATGGTTGAAGTTACACAAAATATCATGTATGACGGATTTTTGCTCATTTAAAGTTCTTTAAATAAGTACGCGACGGCATAATAATATGTCCATCTTTTAAGTTTGACTCACTAAGCTTTTTCCTCAAATTAACGCGGGTGAAACCGCAGGGGTATTCTTCCATCTCTAGTATAAAATAAAATAAAGGGTCCATATACTAAAGGTAATTTTTTGAACTTAGCTGAGACAGCGACCTGTTGGCCCTGCACAGCAACACCAGCAGATTAGTTTAGTTGTTTTTTTTGTTCATTATTATTTGTTTTTTTTTCTCTTCTTTGTTGTTATGTTGTATTTATGTTATTTGTTTTCAAATCTGTTTTGTTTTCAATGTATGTATGCTGTGCAACCAATAAATGTTTTTCTTTCTTCTTTCTTTCTTTCAACTTGTTTGCTCGTTGTATTTTAAATTAAATACTATGGGCGCTGAACCCTTATTTCTATTTTTGTTACTTCGGTACCCCTAACACGAACCAATATCGAATTCGTATCGTTTGCGAGTCCGAAATGTCATTGTCAAATGTGTACTGATTTTTAGTTCTCGTTACGTACTTTGTGCCGCTGCTGTTCAAGTTTCCATACAAAATTTGACATTGACATTTCAGTTTGCAAACTATTCGAATTCGATAATGGTTCGTGCTAGGGGTACTGTTCTATAGCTTTTGGAAGCTTTCAGCGTAATGTTGAAAATACATTTTTTTTATAATTTCCTTACGCGGGGAGAAAGCACACCTGCCAATAGATTTAGAACAGTTAGTACTTCGTGGTGCCACGGGCTGCCCGTGGTACGTGCGCAATATCGATTTGCATCGCGAATTAGTTTGAAACGCGAAGTACATGAAGGACGCCTCGAGACGTTACTTCGATAAAGCCACGCACCACTCGAACCCTCTAGTAGTTAAAGTCGCCAGTTATCACACATCCTGCCGTCCTCCACTCGTAGGTCTCTCCGATTCCTTCGGCCTAAGCATGTCTTAAAATACCCCGACGATGAAATCACCCGCGCCAACGCGCCTCCGACTCCTCCCACACAGGCCTCAAACACCAACATTACACAACCAGCAAACTTGCACACTAATTTAGCAGTAAGCAGACACCGCACCCGTAGGATAAGAGTGCGAAGACCCGGTCTACATACGACACGCTATACCAGGTATAGATACGTACCTGGGCGATAACGGATAACTAGAACCGAGTTCCGTATCTCAGAGACGCGTCCAGTTGAGCCGACCCCCTCAGGTTCGAGTGGTCTAGAGGCTCCAGACGTAGAGTAGATGTCATCCGCCTGGAATGCTTCTAGAGGCACTCGCCAATTCTCAGCTTGAGGTCCCCTTAGGATCTCGCGCGTCCCCAAACCCGGTGACGCTGTAAAGCTCCTCCGCGACCAACAGAATACACACTTTATAAAAAAAAGCCTACATGCGCTTCCATAAACGAGTTTATAGATTTGTTTATTGTTGTGTATGTATGTATCGATTTATATAAGAGTATATTTATTATATATTTTTATTTATATGTATGTATATATTATTACCTATATCACTCAAGTGATTTACGTCGCCTTCTCTCCAACTTCTAGTCCTCTTCATCCAAAGGTTGCCTGGAAGAGATCGCTCTTAGCGATAAGCCCGCCCATTGATACACTAGTTTAAATTGGTTTTGTACTAAATGTAATGTTTTCTGTGGTGTACAATAAAGCGTTTTGTATTGTATTGTAAATGCACAACGTTAATATTAAAGTTTCAATGTTTTTTCTTTTACTGAACACGGCAACCACTGCACCGTTAAGCTTTTCAGTAAAATATATAAACACTATAATAGTCGCAGGCATTTTTCATTAGCTCAATTCTACCCTTTGGCAGCTGTAGTCTTCCGCTGTACAGAACAATGATCTTGGCATTGACACTGTAATGTTTGGCAACTGTTTCGTAACAGTGAAATTACTATTTTGTTTGATAGTATACTATCATATAGAATCATGCCAGAATGCTTCAAATAACATGCCAATACATCGTCGAATTAATAAAACCCTATTTCTTGTTATTTCCATTGAAGTGAAGAAAAAAATGTAAAGCGCCCGTTTTT